GTCTCCCGAATAATTTAATCTTGTGCTTTAGTCACAGCCTTCCTCTCTGCAAAGCACACCAACAAGTTCAAGAAGATAGAAATCGCTTGCCTACAGGAAACTAAAATTTCAAATTTGATTGTCCGACAAGAAAATGTGATTGTTCCAAATTTCAGACTGTGGTCTCATTCTCGTCTGTAAATTAAAAGATTATTGCTCTGCATTCTACTTGCTCTATTTTGAACTACTATGCCAGGGTTTCTCCTGTTCTTTTTCAGGGCATCTCATTCTCAACCTTGGTATTATAGGTTTGGTTTTGTCTTCACTTTAAAATAAAAGTGACACCATCAGTCAGATACTGTGCCAAAAATCAAAGGGGTAGCCGTGTTAGTCTGGATCTGTAAAAGCAGCAAAGAGTCCTGTGGCACCTTATAGACTAACAGATGTATTGGAGCATGAGCTTTCATGGGTGAATACCCACTTCATCAGAAGTTCGTGCTCAAGCCCACGAAAGCTCATGTTCCAATACATCTGTTAGTCTATAAGGTGCCACAGGACTCTTTGCTCCTGTGCCAGAAATGAGGCAATTTCTAATTTGAATAAAAATTCTAATATCTAAATAATATTATGGCTCATATTCATATCCATCTAGTTTGAAAACTAGATCCAACCACACAGACTAGCACTATTCTAGTTCTCCACTAGCACCAACTGCAGCTGCACTAATTCTGCACACACTTCACCCTCATGCTTAACCTTACTCCTGTGAACAATCCCACTGCTTTGGGAGGTTCTTGTCTTGAATGGAGTCCCACAATCTTGTGATCAGAGTTCAGCACGTGCATAAATGTTTGCAGGATTGGGGCCAGGGCTCTGTTCTTCTCACATTACTATTTGTGCTAGAGTAGCCTCTAGAGTCTAAGATCAGGAACCCATTGTGCCAGGCACTGTACATGTAGAGCAAGAGACCATTGTCCTGAAGAATTTGCAATCTCTAAAGAGACCAGACACAGGATGAGAGGGGAAAAGAGGCAGAGAGAGCAGGGGAGTGACTTGCCCAAAGACACTCAACAGGCCAATGGCACAGCTGGGAATAGATGCCATGTCTCCTGGTGCCCACTCCCATGCTCTATCTGCTGCTTCCCCAGAACAAATCTGTCCCTGGGCCCCCGCTTCTCCCTGGCTGGCTGAGGGGCAGGGGGTCACTCACCCTGCCCTGGGGACCCCCCCTTGCCCCTGGCTGGCTGCGGGGTAGGGGAAGAGGTGGGGCCAGGGCGGGGATTTGGGGAGGGATCCAATGGGGGGAGGAGGGGGCGGAGTCGGGGCAGGGGTGGGGGCTCCTCCTGTGCGCCGAAGCAGGAGGGCAAAATTGCTTGTTTGTCCAGTGTCCTGACCAAACATCAGTCGGGACGTGGGACAAACAAGCAATTATCGTGACAATCCCGATAAAATCAGGATGTCTGGTCACCCTAGCCAGGAGCTGCCCTGCGTCCTGCCCCATATTCTTCCGTGGGGCCCCGGCCAGGCCGGCGAGGGGCTGCGGGGTATCAGTGGGGCGGAGATGCAGCTGGGGGCTGTGTGTGGTATCACTGGTACAAGGATGGGCACTGCGGGCTGTCAGTGGGGCACAAATGGGGCTGTGAGTGCTGTGGGGTGTCACTGGGGTGGGGCTGGGCGATGCAGGGTGTCATTGGGGCAGGAATGGGGCTGTGAGTGCTGTGGGGTGTTGCTGGGGCGGGGCTGGGGCGATGCAGGGTGTCAGTGGGGCAGGAATGGGGCTGTAAGTACGGTGGGGTGTCAGTCGGGCCGCTGGCAGGGATGGGGCACTGGGGTGAGGCTGAGGCTCTGCAGGGTGCCAGTGAAGCAGGGATGGGGCTGAGACTGTAGGGTGTCACTGAGGCGCTATAGGGTGTCACTGGGGTGCTGCGGGATGTCACTGCAGTGAGGCTGGGACGCTGGCGAGTGTCACTGGGGCAGGGCTGGAGCCAGGGCACTGGGGGCTGTTGCTGGGGCCAGGGTGCTGTGGGGTGTTGCTGGGACAGGAATGGAACTGGTGTCAGGTGCTGATGGGGTGGCACAGGGGCAGAGTTGCGGGTGTTGGGGGCAGGGATATGGCGGGTGTCTGCACTAATGAGAGCTGATGTGGGGTAGCTGCTGGGCGGCATTGGGGCAGCCATAAGGTTGATGGGTTTATGCAGGGCCTCCATTACCCAGCACTGTTGGTTTCCGACTGCCAGGCACCCATCACTGTGTGCAGCCCATAGCCTTTCTTACCCTGTTCTCCAACCTACCACTTAGCTACCACTTGTCGCTCGGTTTCTCTGACTTCCTCCCTACTCCCATCGCAGTGTATTGTGTTTAGTTTTTGCACACTTATCCCACTGACCCCTCAAACTGTTAAGCCCCTTCAGGGCTCTGGATGAGTGCGGGACTCCCCCTCGCAGAGCGGCTTTCAGGGTCATGGCTTTTCAGTTTAGCTTTTCTAAAGATAAAGTTACCAAAATAAAAATAACAGAGTATCACAGAGTTCTGAAAATAAAGAACATGTGGGTCTGGTTAGCAAATGTAACAGCAGTGCAGTAAAGTGAAAATCCAATTTAAAAAGAATTCAATATTCCAAAGGGGTAAATTTGAAATTTAGCAATCCTGAATTCTAATAATCCTCTTAAAATAACACACTTTACAAGAATAAACATGCAAAAGGAAAACTGCAGTGAAAAGAAGTTTCTAATTCTGACACTGAATTATAAAAGACGAGTAAAAGAACTTATGAGCACCAACTTTTGGTTATTTAAAATTATTGAGTGTTAATCTTCTATGTAGAGAGATAAGGTGGGTGAGGTAATATCTTTTATTGGACCAACTTCTGTTGATGACAGTGACATAGGCGTGCGCAGCCCATTTCATTAGGGTGTGCACCCAGGGAGCCCCACCCTAGCCCCGCCCCTGCCCTAGTCCTGCCCCCATCTACTCCCTCCTACTTCCCGCCCCCTGACTTCCCCTCTCAGAACTCCCAACCCCCCCTGCTCCTTGTCCCCTGAGTTGACTACCCCCTCCTGGGACCCCTGCCCCTAACTGCCCCCCAGGACTCCACCCTCTACCTAAGCCTCCCTGCTCCTTGTCCCCTGACTGACCCCCTAGAACCCTACCCCCTACCTGTCCCCTGACTGCCCCGACCCTTATCCACACTCCCGCCCCCAGACAGACCCCTGGGACTCCCACGCCTATCCAACCGCTCCCCACCCCCTGACAGGACCCCCAGAACTCCCAACCCATACAACCCCCATGCTCCCTGCCTCCCCCAACCCCTCTCCACACCCCTGCCTCCTGACAGCCCCCCCCAGAACTCCTGACTCATCCAACCCCCCCAGCTCCTTGTCCCCTGACCACCCCCTCCAGAGACCCCCCC